CCCCAAAACCCCAAAACCCCAAAACCCCAAAACCCCGTAAAGGAATAAATAGGCTGAAAATACAATAGACTTAATGTTAAATACAAAACCTAAACTATTTTACCTAATCGCTAGCTCTATAGCTTGATCACTTGGATTCCTGATTGCAGGTTATTGCTGCGGATACTACAATGGCCTAACTGGAATTATGCATAAACAATATGTTTACAATGGTAAGGTGTCTGGTGTTCACCCACATAGACAAACAGAGGATTCCTTCAGAAGACCTCTTCAACTCAGTTGTCTCTGGAATGTTCGCACTTGGAGCCATCCCTGGATCCATACTGGCAACTCCAATAATGAAGAAAGGCAGGAGACTCACTCTTATCATGGCAAGCCTCATATCTGTGCTGGGTGCCACCCTCATGATGATATTCAACATGTGGGCCCTCATCTTAGGACGATTCACGATGGGGGTTGCTGTTGGAATCTATTATTCTGTGTGCCCGCTTTACATCTCGGAGATGAGTCCTCCGTCAGTCTCAGGAAGCCTCGGAAGTCTGAACCAGATGAGTCTTGCCACTGGACTTGTGATATCGTTTGGATTAGCATATATTTTACCTTATCCAGAGGAGCCAGAAGCGCTAACAACTGAGTTATGGAGAGTAGTTACTTGAATCCCAATTACTTTTGGACTTTTGCAATTTACATTGTTCATGCTTGTATTCAGATATGAAACTCCTATCTATTATAAGAAGAAGGGTGACTTAGAGCATTACTCCAAAGTTATGAACTTAGTGTGCTCTAATTCAGACAGTTTTGACATGAAAAGGTTGACTTAGAAAGACTGGAATATTCCATTGCTAAGCCAATACAGACTAATAAGATTTTACCAATTAATAAGATTTTATCTCAAAATAATGATAATTCACAAAACTATCACCCTCACATTCATGAGGCAGAGGATGAAGAGTCGATGGAGCATCACTCTTCACATCATACTGACAACAAAGAATGCTATGAAATATCTAATAGCCCTAAAAACAAGGATCCTCAGCCAAAGGAAAATACAGAGGGAAATGAAAAATCGGTGAAAAATAAGTTGCCATCTTATTACAAGAAAGCATTGTTACTTTGCTCAATTTTGAGTTTCTTCCATCAAACCACTGGAGTCAGTGGAGTTTGATCCTTCTCGAACCAGATCTTCAAAGAAGGAGCTGAAGGCAACTCAGCTGAGAGAAAAGCACGCTTTGGGACTCTCCTCTTTGGAATAGCAGCTTTTGTAGGAACAGCCTCATCCATTTGGCTATATAAGATATTTTCCAGAAAATTCTTCTTCTTATCGAGTGAATTTGTGATCATGATTTGTCTTATTCTGTCAGGAATATTTTCGCTCATGGACTTAAGCATTGGAATAATTATCATGTCAATGCTCTACTCCTTTGCCTACGACTTTGGAATTGGTCCAGCTCTCTGGATCTACAGTTCTGATGTTCTCGACAGCTCCGGAACATCAGTGGTTGCGATGATCAACATGGTGATGGTTTGCATCTTCTCTACATTTGCAAACCTGATGTTTGAGTACTTCACTGCTCTAGGGTTCTTCTTCGGATTGGGGGCTGTGCAGATCGCCTGTATTGTGTTCATTTTGAGATTTATCAGAGAGACAAAGGGCAAATCAAGAGAAGAATGCGAGAGACTGTATTCAAATAAGCCTTATACAACGACTAAATCTCCCAAAAGGAGACCAGTGAGAAAGATAATCTCATTTAGAAGATAGGCCAAGCCTGGTGTATTCTTCACCCTATCAATATACGTATCAAAAGTAAATTTTATCAGCTTTATAATATTATCCTGTCAATGAATCAATATGTACGGAACATCTCGGGGTTTTGGGGTTTTGGGGTTTTGGGGTTTTGGGG